ATTGAGTTTTTGTTTGGGAGGCAAAGTTGGAGAGATAAATTGCAGAGAGAATAGCTGAAAACACAGTCCAAATTCATTACTATTGTTAGTAACTTTTTGAATTATTAATGGATGGATGTGTGTTGAGATATGCTCTCATTATGATATGATTTCATGTATGCTAAATATTGTTTATGTTAACAAGTTAAACGTCAGTGGCAAAGCTGATCATGTGACTGACTGACTGATTGCTGATGAGCAACACGTGCATCAATAAATATGGTGTGGGTGCGGTGAAACACACCACAAAGAGAAAAGACGTGTTGTGTGCTGTGTCTTATGCCAATTTGGAAGCACTGGGAAATTGACTCTGCTAACAATGTGTTTTTGCTGCTGGACTCCTGAATTTCAATAACTTCAGGGATCAATAAAGTATCGATCTATCTGTCTATCTATCTCATCTTCAGCCGTACATGGACCCAGGCCTGATGCAAAACACTGCTCCGCATACGCAGCGCAGAAATACTGAGTAATATCCACAACTATTTACATCAAGCTACTAATCATCCAATCTGCGAGAGGCTGACAGCTGCGGAGCGGTGACAGCACACACCAGCCGTCCTAAACACACCTATTAGAGACAAGCAGAAAACATGGCCCCAGGCTCAGGATGGTGCTATCATATAATACACACAATAAACTGAGCCAAATCCCAAGCCAGAAATCAGCCATTTAGGATTTAGAATGTACAATTGAGTGCTAAAGCTGGGGTACGTAACTTTCAAACCACAACTATGGGACTATATATGTAAGTAAAATCAATGTTACTAGTTCCTGTCTCTATAACTGTTAGAGACATAAACTGTCTCTAACAGTTTATGTCTATGACAAGTTTTCACATGCATGTATTGTGCATGTGTCACGTCTTTTGATCAGCTCTCAGCCCAAAGAGTCAATGAGAGACTCACAAAGCTCTTTCTTAAACAAAAGAAAACATGTTTTCCATTCACATGAAGACGACTGCTGGTACTTCAGTGTTTTGCAAAGAAAATAGCAACAATTTGTACACAACACTGCAAAAAATTATATAATATGAGGTCATATTTGCTTAGATAAAGTATTTTTCATCCTAATCCGAGTACATTCTGACTGAAAACTAGATTTGCCATTGGGACAAAACCATTTAGTCTTAGTTCTCATTCCAAGGGAGACATTACTTGTATCTCTTAAAAACAAGAACATTTTACTTGTCCCATTGGCAAATCTTGTTTTAAGGCACCGTGGGCCACTCCTAAAGACACCCAACCCTACACGCTTTTGTGATTAGTGAGGATGTTACTACTTCAAATCTGTTTTATATGAGGAACAATGTCGTAACATGGTTTCATTTCAACAGAGCACATACCTGAGCAGATAGCATCACTATTCAATGCATCAGAAGGCAAACATGTCTGATTAACAGGATTGGAACAGTTGGAACAGTCTCAGTCATTGAAAGTTTTGAAGTGTTCTGAATTCTGAAGTGCGACTCCTTTTTACAAGCCGCCCCCCACAACTACAAGCAATTACATCAGTGCAAAAGCTTTTAATGTGACATAACCACAGACAGTGGACAGAGTCTGGCTGTTGTCAACAAGTTTTTGGTCTTTTTTCATTTGACTCCATCAAGTTTGAGTAGCTATAGGACACCGGTTTATTGTGAAAATAACTGGCATGGAAGCTAAAGGTGAAGCATTAAACACCTCGTCATTAAATCATGTTGTGATCAGTTAAAACAGTCGTCTCTCTGAAAACCTGCGGCTAATATTCAAGTGTCGCTTATATGTGGACAAAATATTCACCACCTACTTCAAATGTTTCTGGTGCGGCTTATATACAGGTGCTCCTAATAATCCAGAAAGTATGGTAGTTAGTTTACATGGCTCCCACATCATTCAAACTACTATACATTTGGCCAAATCCTCTTTTTCTTTCTGTTTTCCACAAAAAACAGACCTGCCATTGTTTTTATGACAGTAGACATCAGCGGGAATAGATGGAGATGGTCTCGTGGGGGGATCCGACCCACAACCTTCAGGCTCAAGGGCCAATGCTTTCCCAACTGAGCCGCAAATGAGAAAGAGAAACAGATTTTTTCTCCTTCCAGGTGAGAAATTTCCCATAAAGACACATAAAACAAGACATTGGTAAATCTGCTGTATTTAGTATTTATTTAATGGTCATAGATGTACTGCATCGTTCCATGCAGTAAATCCTTCTTACCAAACAGAATTCATAAACGGGTTTTTGAGATTTCACAGATAAATCACAATGAGATACAGTTGTGCTTGACAGTTTACACATCCAGGTAGAACACACATCGATGAGCTCTCTCTGGTCTCTCTCTCTCTCTCTCTCTGTTCTCGCGCTCTCTGGTCTTGCTCTCTCTGGTCTCTCTGGTTTCCCTCGCTATGGTCCCTCGCTCTGGTCCCTCGCTCTGGCCCCTCGCTCTGGTAGTAAGTAACTAGTAAGTAAGTAAGTAAGTATTTATATACCGCCTTTTCACTGCAGATCTAAGTCTCAAAGCGGTTTACAATTGTTAATTTTGGGCATTTGTATCTCACTCCACACAGAGATGGGAGTGGGGTCGCCAGTACAGGAGGCACATGCCAGACCTATTGTACATATTTTTAGTGGTAGGGGAAACCGGAGTACCCGGAGGAAACCTACGCAGACACGGGGAGAACATGCAAACTCCACTCAGAAAGGCCCTGGTCCGACCGGGATTCGAACCCAGGACCTTCTTGCTGAGAGGCAAGAGTGCTATCCACTCAGCCACCGTGCCGCCCACGCTCTGGTCCCTCTCTCTGGTTTCTCTCTCTTGTCTCTCTCTCTGGTCTCCCTCTCTGGTCTCTTTCTCTTGTCTCTCTCTCTGGTCTCCCTCTCTGGTCTCTTTCTCTGGTCTCTTTCTCTGGTCGCTCTCTCTGGTCTCCCTCTCTGGTCTCTTTCTCTGGTCTCTTTCTCTGGTCGCTCTCTCTGGTCTCCCTCTCTCTGGTCTCCTTCTCTCTGGTCTCCCTCTCTCTGGTCTCCCTCTCTCTGGTCTCCCTCTCTCTGGTCTCCCTCTCTCCGGTCTCCCTCTCTCCGGTCTCCCTCTCTCTGGTCTCCCTCTCTCCGGTCTCCCTCTCTCTGGTCTCCCTCTCTCCGGTCTCCCTCTCTCTGGTCTCCCTCTCTCTGGTCTCCCTCTCTGGCCGGGTGTGTAAACTTTGAAGCACAACTGTATTTTTTCTCTATGCACACACATCCATCTGAGGTTCCCACATGCATCTGCTTGCACAGCGGTGAGCAGCAGAAATTCCTTTAAGTCGCACTACCTGCCTCTACACAGCACCCACAGCCTGAACACTTACCCCTGTTCCTCCCTGTTCCACACCTACCTCCATGCGAGCAGCCCAGGAGGTCCCAGAACTGCATTTTGGCTCCGGGACTTCACCTCGCAGCCTTGTATTGTTAATATGTTCCTCGAACATATGCTCCTAATCTCCACTTCCTTGTCGGGACGGACCGCTGTCACTCACACAGAGGTGAAGACCCGCCCACTCGATTGTTTTGGACTGACACACCTGGGGGCTGAGTTTCCATTCAAAACACAGCGGCGAAGCTTCCCCTTTCAGAACTGCTTCTACAGGTCTGTCGCGAAACACGATCATTGCGATATTGACAAATCTGGTAAGGATTGATAAATAATTGATGGTACAATATATTTAGTAACTTTGTAGTTAGTAGACAATATTTCCAATCGGGCTACGGTATTTGTTATTTACTACAACTTAAGGTTTATTTTGGCTATACAAAGGCAGAAAAAACTAGATCTTTCACCCATTTTGTCATGTTTACATAAAAAGACCAGCACTTTGAGAAGTTTTTGCATTTAAGTACCATACAAATAAAATGCATTATCATTAATATTAAAGATTTTATTTAAAATTTTCCTAAAAGCTTTCGCTTCAAACATAGTACGCTATAATTAGTCCTTACACAACATTCAGCGACATTTTTATGTTGAATGTGGTGTAATTCATTATGTATAAATTCTTATTCTAATCTTATAACCATGTATTAACATTTATGGACGTTAGTCATGTGTTTGAACAGTCTCTGATCTGTGATGCCGAATCGACAGCTTTGTAAAGTCCTCAGAGATAACTACTGTTGGGATTCGGACTACACAAGAATACATTGAAGTGCACATCCACCAGTGTTTTTTCTGAATTTTAAAACAAAAGTAATGCAACTTCTTTGCTTAAATTGCATGCTTTACAACCGCATGTCTGCATCAATGTTTGATGTTTAAAAGAAAAAAAAAAGGAAATCAAATTCAACATATCTTAGTGGTAGAAGTGCCCAGACATTTATATACAATAAGGCACAATATTTATTATCAATACAAATCATCTCATGTATTACAGCTCAGGAATTAGAATATTTAAAAATTCCGATTAACTTATGAATTGCAAAATAATGAAACTGCGGTCAGTATTGCATCGTGTTGTGACAAAGCCCTTCATAAAAATGCATGTAAGTGACATCATAAGGAGTACATTCTGTCTGACAAGACAGTCAAATAAATGAGTGTGAATACCTGCTCCTTTGTCTTTTAAATGTGGCTTTATTTCGCTGTATTTGATGTACCACATGATTGCAGCCTGCCATCCTAATGCACATGTTTATAACGGGGTATTCCTCAATATTATCCCTTGTTTGCAGCTCGTCGACACAGCCATAGATGGGTGGTTTCACTGCACCACCACTGCCTCTATGTGGAGAATACAAATGCCTCACTTTGTGCCACAATCACCAGTCAATCAGCCTACAAATACATCACACATTTAAAGATCCGCGCTGTCAACAAGCCACGAACCGGTCCTGTATTGTCTGCCTGACACAATCCCATTCAATGCTAAGCTAACCTGCTAACGGTGGTCTGCCATTCCCAGTAACATCCAGTCCGCCCCCCGAGAGAAACACAGCGGATCAATACTCACTTTCTCCAGAGCTGTGGCCGCAAATAATCTCACATTAACCCGGTGTGTAGTGAGTCCAAAGCCGGGGATGGATGTGCGGAGAGGTTCGGGGATCCGGTGGGTCTCTGTGTCCAGTGGATCAGTCCCACTCACGCCCCGTGTTGTTGTCCACACAGCGCGTGCCAGTGTCGGGGTCCGCCGCTAGCATCGTTAGCATCGTTAGCATCGTTAGCATCGTTAGCATCGTTAGCATCGTTAGCATCGTTAGCATCGTTAGCATCGTTAGCATCGTTAGCACAGTTAGCATTGTTAGCACAGTTAGCTTAGCACTGTTGCTCTTCTTTACAACATGGCTGCAGCACAGACTACCAGAGACAGGGGAACATATCATATTAAAATAGTTTATTACTATGTATAATTGTCTTTTAATTAATTTTTGTGTTTGTTTTTATTATTATCTTTGTCATGTTTCTTAGGTTTCTGTCTATGTGTTAGTTAATACAATAGTTGTTTCTAAAGGTTTAAAATCACACACATGAAGCTAATTCTATGGTCATAAAAAACTAAAACCACACTATGGACCATTCTCTGTTGAAATGTAAACATTTCGGACAATATTATAGCCAATGGGAGTAGAGCTGCAGCCAACGATTATTTTAGTAATCGGGCGTTCTATTTGTACCATTGATTATTTGAGTAAACTATTCATGAATTTTAGTTAACTTCTATTTAAAATATATTTTAGAAGAAGTTTGATTCAATTTAATAAGCCAACAACAAGATTTTACACAGAAACTTCTTAAATGCTAATACAGAATCGCCAGTGTCACCACAACGCAGAAACATTTCTGTGTGCCTTGAGATATTGTTTGATGTGCCTTTGGAATCTCACTATCACCTCACTGGCCAATGATAAAAGAAGACTTTTTTTGCTTCTCCATATTAACTGTTTGATTCTCTGATCTGTGTTAGAAAATTCAACGATTTTGGAAAGTCCTTCGAGATAACTACTGTTGTGATTTAGGGCTATACAAGAATAAATTGAATTGAATTGAACAGACCACTGCAGAAGGGTTCATTCTTGATGGTGTCTTCAGTCCAGCTTCCTGACTAACACTGGCTCTTGATCAATTGAAGTCAGGCCTCTGTGCTGCTTCCGTGAGACAGTCGACAATCCCGTGGTGCGATAAAACTTAAGATCTTGTTATTTGGGATGAGAACAGGGATGACCAAAATATGGCCTGCATATAAATTGTGGCTCGATGTGTCATTGTATGCAGGCCTTAACCATTGAGGGAACACAAGTTCACTGTATCAGCCAACAGAGCCTCCTGAATCCCAACGTTGATCTTGCCAAGATTTGTTTTTAATTGTAGCACAAAATGCAATATATGGAGCTAATGCAGCTGTTGAGAAAATAAACATTTGATCTGTCAAGTGTGAAATATGGACACATTTTTATGTTCAGAACAGCAATCTTTTACAATCCATGTTGTTGGCCCCTGGGAAAGTCTGGTGGTTGACTAAAGCGTTTGGATAACCTAAATACAGCCAATATTAAGCAAATTGGAACCAGGAAGTGGCTGGTTGGATGGATGACCATCCTGTACGTGAATGAACCTTGATGTCAAGTTTGTGGGCCGCACTTGGCCCTAGGGCCTTGGTTTGGACATGCCTTCTGTAAATGAATGTTTACACAAGTCATATTTCATTCATTTTAAAAAGAGAAAGAACAAAGGCCTCAGGGTCGTTCCAGCCGTGTGTCCTTCACTGTTTAGTTTTATGCACAGAAATATCATGAATCATCGTTTTTCACTCTGTTGAGGGTCATGGAAAGGACAGCTGTGGCCTTTACTGCAGTTTTCCTTTGATCAGATAGAACTCAGTGTTTATTTTCATTAACATCAAAGATGACATCTCCAAACATTCTAACTGTGAAAATACAACTATACACATGTCTGTCTCCTGATTCCGATCCTAAAACCCCCAAACAGCGCCTAAGTCTTGAGTACAGTTTTTTAATCAAAGTGCTCCCCCTGGTGGATGTTTACGGTGGTTCACCAGTTGAACTATACAGACATATGTGATGGCCAGAGCGGTAAATTGCACCAGGCCTGCTCAACGTGAGGCCCAGGGGCCAAATCAGGTTCTCCAAACAATCTGATGCGGCCCATCTATCTATCCCCAGTTTTGCTGGGCTTTCAACTGAAGTAATTCATCTTCACTCTTTTAGAATATTTATGTCATTGCCTGATAGTATTGTATATCTTGTTTTATTAGCACTTTGAGTTGTCTATGAACTGTGCTATACAAATAAACTATCCTATTTTGTAGATAAATTTAAATGTATAAAGCAAATTATACAATATTATCATTATATATCATTATTATAGCGTAAGAACTCTGTGTACATAAATAGGAATTTCCACTCGGGGCCAAGACACGGTTTCTTGGCTAAACCATTTTTTATTAGAAATACAATTAAAAAACAATGGTACACATTTCAGGTATATTTTAACCAGAACAATAAATCAAACAAAAACAGTGTTTTTGTTCAGACACTCAATATTCCCAAAACAGACACCATTTGAGTCTGAAATCATTCTAAATAATGGTAATGCAGAGTGACAAGACAAGGTGTATGTCCGTGACTAAACGATGAGTAAATAAATACAATCTCACATTTTCACAAGATTGACTAATAATTCATACATTATTTCAGTAATTTAGTGGAAGAAGGAGCACAGGCTAAGAATGTACAGTAGTAATAGTACAAAGGATTCATAGCAGCAAAGCAGGGCAGGACGCACACACTGATACACTCAAGCACAGAGTTACACAACATTACATCAGTATAGTTTATATGTGCGCTTAAAAATAGCATCTTAAAATTCCTTATCAAAGCAGAAATAGGATGAAACATAACATTTGCATACACTAGGATATCAAGGACTAGTCTGCCTCTGCCTTTGCAAACATTAGCACAGTTTTGGGACATCTCTTGTTCCATTTATTCATGTTATTTCATACATTTTCTACTTGCGCAATAGTTCTAAAACATGAAGAGCCAGAGTAAATTATCTCTAATTTGCATTTTAGGGCGTAAAGTGAACACAAAGTTGAATATTTTATCCAATAATCTGGATTTACAAAGACAAATTCACAATATAGAGAGTGATAAACCAAAGATTCTTTTGATCTAGAATTTACTTTTACATGTAAGTCAATAGGAGGTCAAAAGGGGAAGGTGATAATTGTTTTTGTATTTTCTTTTTAGAATAAATTACACAACGTGGCTGTTTTCCTGAGTTTAAAAATGAGGTATAACAGTCCATGGCAGCCATATTAATATTACCATAATTGCTGCAAGTATATAAACCAAAACATTTTACAAAAAAAAACCTAAATTGAGATTTATTAATTTAGCGTAGCCGTGAAATGCGTTGGTTCCGTCCTCAGCAGGCGACTTGTGAGGACTTGGTGAAGCGGTCCATGTTGGCGTGGGAGACCTCCATGGCGTTGTCGCTGTGGTGCCGCTGCTTCTCGGTGCCAGCAGAGGGTAGTCCCCCGCGCTGGGAGTCGTTGGTGTGGGAGCGGCTGCGGGCCCCGTCGAAGGAGGAGGTGCTGGAGCTGGTCCTGGAGCGCAGGCGGGTCATGCTGGCACTGGACACTGGGGACACAGGCAGCGGTCAGTTTAGAGCAGAGGTGGCGGAATGTTTTAGTAAGAGGGCCACTTTAGAGTAATGGGCTTCAGCTGTAGTACAGTCAAAACACTGCAGCTCGAGTACCATCATATTAGTCCAGTTCTCAGGTCTCTGCACTGGCTTCCTGCGGCTCAGAGAATAGACGTTATAGCAGCTCTGTTTGTTACAAGACTCTCTGTGGCCATATGTGACATGTTCTGCCATATGAACCAATTCGGACTCTTAGGAGCACAGGGACTGGCCTCCTGTTGGTCTCATATAGAGTTATTACGTTCTTATCTTGTGATGTGCTTCTCATTTCTACTGTTCACTAACTGGTGATGCAAGACTGAAATTCACCCACTGTGGGATGAATAAAGCATCTCTTCATCTTAATCTTAATCTCAGTTTCGGAGAGCTCAATAACAATAAGGTTTGAAAGTGGATAAGTGGTGAGAAAAGTTGGTGATGACTTACAGTATCCCAGGCCCTGGATGAAGTACTTGAGGGCCTCTATGACTTTGGCGGGCTGTGGGAAAAATCACATATAATTTATTTAATCTTATTTTACTGTTTAGAGAAGAAATAGAGAAGGAACCAGTTAGACTTGTACCTGGTCCACTTGGGGAAGTCCTCCACAGTCGGCCATCTGCAGTGAGACAGTACAGGGCTCAGTTTGTGTCTGTGTGTATGTGTGTCTGTGTGTGTCCGTGTGTGTCTGTGTGTGTTTTCCTCACCTTGAGCAGCGTGGTTTTTGTCGGGTTGAGTTTGGAGTTACAGTCGACTACAGGCTCCACGGCCGGAGAGAAGTCTCCCACCACCAGCAGTGTGGAGCATCTGGAGAACAAGCAACAATAATTACCGTACTTTCTGGACTATAACGTGCACCTTTATATAACATACAGTATATGACCCGCTGTATTCCTAGTGCGTGTGACTCACTTGAGCGTGCGGACGTTGACGCTGCCGTCGGGCACGGGCCTCTCCACCTCCAGAGCTGATCTGCTCAGGTACGAGCGGAAGAACTGGGTGACGTTGGCCTGGTTCATGTTGGTGGTGATGTGGTGGCGGTAGGTGGCGATCAGGTCCTGGTTAGTCTGGATCTCCACCTACAGTCACACAATCACACTTTAATATACAGCAAACAAATACATCAGTCATCAGGCTTCATTTCAGGCTTTTTTTTCTTTCTTTTTTTCTAGAGTTGTTCCTTGTAGATGCAGGATAATCTAAGGACAGTGGTGATGGTCCTGGACATTCAACCACATTTATGGAATTTATTCACATTTATGGACATTGGTCTCTGCCCCTTATGGACCAATGGCTCCATGTGTTTTTGCAATCCCTGTATTTGAACTGTTTGATTCTCTGATCTGTGTTGACGAATCAACAGTTTTACGAAGTCGTCCAAGATAACTACTGTTGTGATTCAGGGCTTTACTAAAATACATTTAATTGAATTCCATCTTTAAAAGAGACATACTCTGCAAAATCCACTTTTTTCACTTTTCCACAACATTTTTCCTCATCAGTTTTATTGATTTCTCTGGTGAAATGACGTTCTTTACAATAGCACCTCTGTGTTTGCAGCTGGTCATTCTCCAAATCAAAAGAAATACTTAAAAGAAATTCCACAATTCTAAAGTAATAGGGCAAGTACCCAGGACCAGAGAGATAGACCAGATTGATTAGAGAGACCAGAGAGAGATCAGAGAAATACCAGCTAGAGAGACCAGAAGCAGAGACCAGAGAAAGAGACCAGAAAGACAGACCAGAGATAGAGACCCGCAATAGAGACCAGAGAAAGAGACAGACACTAGAGAGGACAATTGCAGGTTACTCATCCACACGGAGCAGTGTACACACTTTCTAACATATATATATTAAAGTGCAAAAACTGTAAACTCACTTTCCCAAACATGTGTGCGATGATGGTGTCGGGGAGAGTGTGGGTCCATTCTGTGAGCTGCAGAAAACACACAAGACTTTTAACACAGCTTTAAATAATGTTGTATTTTGGTTTTGTTCTAATTTAGCGCTCACTTTGCTCGCCATGGTGTCCATCAGGCCCTCTGCGTGTGGGTTAATGTTGATGAGAACCAGACCATCCACCATGTCTGGGTGATTCAACTGCAAACACAAACCTCACTCAATACCAGGGCGTGTGGAGGACAGCGGATATTAAAGCTGGGGTACATGACTTTACTGCTTCATATACAACACATGTTTGTGTCTTTGTGGAAGCAAAATATTGGTATCAAATCAGACTCTGATTCTCATCTCTCCTGTCTTCATCTCATAAGAAAATATTTATCTGATTTTTTGTGTAAGAAAGAGCCCCTATTTAATGCTTTGAAAACTAGTGATAGAAGCAAACTGAACTCTTGACATGAATGTTATTAGTTGTTTTTGTAGTTAGGGGCCCCAGCTTTAAATACAATGACAAAACCAGGGGCCCCAGTTTTAAAAAGCGAGATGAACTTACTGCAAATTTAGCTAAGACGTAAGCTCCTGCTCCAACACCGAGTCCGATGATGCTGCGCAGTCTGGGGAAGGAAACACACAATTCATGTGTAAATGTTTTTCAATGATCTTTGAATAGTTCCACTGTGGACAGTTTCTGTAGAAGACAAATGAGACAACAGATGGTTCTCACCCAAAGTGCTTGAGGACGGAGGTGAGGGTCTCCGAGAGCTGGTCCATGGTGGGGAACACGTACCTGGGCACAAACCCTTCTGTCAGAGTTTGTTCATAGGACACGTATCAGGGAACTATCAAACTGAAACAATGTATTTATAAACTGTACGATACGATTCAGAAAGAAGTAAAGGCTTTTGGACTGAGACAGTGGGTGTGGCTCATCAAGCTAACACTATCGATGCAACAAACTCAAATAATTAAACATGTTTTGAAAATAGAGATATATGATTTTTAAGCAGAAAAAGGAAAATGATTTTGAAATAATTATATCATAAAGTCTATCTTATCTTATCAATAATGGTCTACAAATATAAACAAGTAGATATGTACTGTATATAACAAAAAGGGAAAAGTCATCATTTCAAAATATGGTATCTGTTGTCCTGCATCTACAGCCTCAGTCCTGGTTTTAGAGCTCCTGTCTAGCTTCTATACAGCCTCAGTCTGTGGGAGCAGATCTCTCTCAGTCTGGGCCTCCTTGAGGTTTATCACTTTTTTCACAGTGTTCTTTATTGTCGTTTCTCTCAGATACGGGAGGGTCTTTGGACAGTTATGATTAACATTTATGCTCCCAATGGTTCCCGTGTTCAAACTGCTTATTTTCCTCTCATTGTAAAGTCCTCCGAGACGACTGCTGTTGTGATTTAGGGATGTACAAAAATAAACTGAATATCTAATTTTAAGGGTTAGGGTTATGTATAATCTGAGTTTGTGTTGCATGTGTGCGTTGCGTGTGTGTCTGTGGAGGTAACACTCACGAGCTGGACAGGGTCTTGGCCTCCTCCTGTTGTCCTGGAGCCTCCACATGAAGCACAGGGAAGTGTCTGGTGATCTCCTTCATGTCCTCGTGAGCGAAGAGAGACTCGAAACACGCTTTATCTGTGACAACACACACACAGGACCATTACACACACAGAACAATCATACACACAGAACCATCATACACACAGAACAATCATACACACAGAACCATCAACCTCTCTAGTTTCTCTGGTCTCTCTCCAGTCTCTCTTGTCTAGACTCTCTGGTCTAGTCTCTCCAGTCTCTCTGGTCTCTCTCTGGTCTCTCTCTAGTCTCTAGTCTCTCTGGTCTCTCTCTAGTCTCTCTGGTCTCTCTCTAGTCTCTCTGGTCTATCTATAGTCTCTCTGGTCTATCTATAGTCTCTCTGGTCTCTCTCTAGTCTCTCTGGTCTCTCTCTAGTCTCTCTGGTCTCTCTCTAGTCTCTCTGGTCTAGTCTCTAGTCTCTCTGGTCTATCTATAGTCTCTCTGGTCTATCTATAGTCTCTCTGGTCTCTCTCTGGTCTCTCTCTAGTCTCTCTGGTCTCTCTCTAGTCTCTCTGGTCTCTCTCTAGTCTCTCTGGTCTATCTATAGTCTCTCTGGTCTATCTATAGTCTCTCTGGTCTCTCTCTAGTCTCTCTGGTCTCTCTCTAGTCTCTCTGGTCTCTCTGGTCTAGTCTCTAGTCTCTCTGGTCTAGTCTCTAGTCTCTCTGGTCTATCTATAGTCTCTCTGGTCTCTCTAGTCTCTCTGGTCTATCTATAGTCTCTCTGGTCTCTCTCTAGTCTCTCTGGTCTATCTATAGTCTCTCTGGTCTCTCTCTAGTCTCTCTGGTCTATCTATAGTCTCTCTGGTCTCTCTCTAGTCTCTCTGGTCTATCTATAGTCTCTCTGGTCTCTCTCTAGTCTCTCTCTCTAGTCTCTCTGGTCTCTCTCTAGTCTCTCTCTCTAGTCTCTCTGGTCTCTCTCTTGTCTCTCTGGTCGCTCTGGTCTCTCTCTAGTCTCTCTCTAGTCTCTCTGGTCTCTCTCTTGTCTCTCTGGTCGCTCTGGTCTCTCTCTAGTCTCTCTGGTCGTTCTGGTCTCTCTCTCTCTGGTTTCCCTCTAGTCTCTCTAGTCTCTCTGGTTTCTCTCTAGTCTCTCTGGTCTCTCTCTTGTCTCTCTGGTCGCTCTGGTCTCTCTGGTCTCTCTCTAGTCTCTCTGGTCAAGTCTCTCTGGTCTCACTCTAGTCTCTCTGGTCTCTCTCTTTCATCTTTCTGGTCAGTCCTCTCCTGGTCTACATTCTATGGTTCCAACACGAGGATTGTGACTCACAGTTCAGGCCGACGTCGTGGAAGGTCAGGATGATAGGACGGTTGTGCTTCTGCGTCCCGGACAAGACACAGTGGAGTTTTCCAAACGCAGTGTCCACATAGTCCTCCTGCAGCCGGCAGATTGGAACAGGTCGGTTAGAGTTAGAGATAGGGTTATTTAATTGACTTAATGGTGAAAAGAATGAGGAAATGTTGAGGGGGTGACTGATCGATCTAAAAGAGTTTGTTTTAAAAGTCATATTTTGTTACCAAAGATACATTTATCCATTTATTATCAGTAAAGAGCCAAAATAATTTCAAGTTTGAATTTGTTTCCATTTGCTCAATTTAACATATATTGTGCATTTTACGGTGTATTTTGAAAATGAATGTGAAATGATTGAAAACTGGTTGAAAAAAAATACTGAAATTATTGAAATTCAGAACAAAACTCAATTATAATCTTCTGCAAAAAATGTAGGCGCCTTAAAGGTTTTCCTGATTTATGATTTTTATGGGAATATTATGGAACATAAGATGAGAAAAACAGTCTTGGTAAATATGAATCAAGGAAGAAGTAGTTAACAACTTAATTAGCTACAGTTTTTGGTTTAAAAAAAAGTTTTCTTAAGGTGACCTGATTGGACTGAAGTTACGGGAACGAAGGAAAATCTAGTTTAACATTAGAAATCAATGAAACTAAGGAAATACAAATATTCTTTCTGATGAACACAAAAAAGTTATGAACCATGTATCTTAATTTGAGCACATTCTGACTGATTTGCCATAATCTTTAAATTATGCAAGAAATATCTCCACTGAAATGAGAAAATAAAGCCACAGTTCTTGATATCAGACTAAATGGCGTTGTCCCATTGGCAAATAAAAGTCACAATGTCGTCAAATTAAGACCAAAAACACTTTAATTTAAGCAAGTATCACCTCATATTATATCATTTTGTGTGGTATAGGTATTTCTGCAGTGTAATATCATTGTTTCTGCAGCGTAGTAGAATTATATGAGCCCAAACTTACCGTGACGTGAGGCTCAAAGACTGAGTCGCACTCGCTGTCCTCCAGAACCATGGCTGCGGCTGGAGCGGTTGCAAAATAGATAAATAAATTCTACTGGTGATAATGACGTGCGACAGGGAGCAGGTGAGGAGAGCTGTGGTCCAGGCCGTGTCTGAGCTGCTTTATATACCCAGCTCTGATCTCTGCTTAAGCTCAAAGATTTAAACTTGTTCAACATGTGGAGACAGTTCCTGGTTAATCCGACCTGCAAACGCCAAGTGCTCCCATTACGCTGCAAACACACACACACACACACACACACGCACACACACACACACACACACACACACACACACACACACACACACACACAGGGACAGTAAAGCTGGGGTATGTAACTTTCAGACCATAACTGTAATGAAATGTAATGAAATCCATGTCCATCCGTCCCTGGCTCCAAAACAATTTGCTTCTATCACTAGTTTAGAAAGAAGCAAACTGATATTATAATAATAGAATATACACTTTTTAACTGTTCTCAAACAACAATAAAGTGTTGGATTTAGATAAACAGTATTAAAGTTCAACAAAATTATTACATTACTTGACTTTTTTAGTTTGTGCACAAGTTTCTCCATGGCCTCGCACCAAAGTACATCTCTGGCATGTTCCATATGATCCAACTGGGACTCTGAGGAGCACAGGGACTGGCCTTTAGCTGGGACTCTGAGGAGCACAGGGACTGGCCTTTAGCTGGGACTCTGAGGAGCACAGGGACTGGCCTTTAGCTGGGATTCTGAGGAGCGATTCTGAGAAGCACAGGGACTGGCCTTTGGATCTATTATATTAACTGGATAGGGTATCACTAGCTTGGAGCTGAAAAACTCATGTGCTCGGGGGATTCTCGCGGTACTGCAGACTAGACCAGACTAAATTCACGTGGGCTACCCAGAAATTTTCCCCATAGAACTCAATGCATATTAAAACAGCTCGACCTCAGCTGACAGAGAACCTACAGCTTTCATAAAGGTCGGATTTTGTGGGGATTTTAGTGTCCCTTGTCATCCTGAAATGTTTTTCTTCTTAAATCCTTCGGTTTTCTTTAAATCCACACTTTATAGCCACAAACTCTGCTCTGCTGGCTCTCACTCTAAAGCCTAGCGTACATCGGACTGGCAACTGATTATATACACAATACAATACAATTTATTCTTGTATAGCCCTAGGTCACAACAGAAGTCATCTCAGAGGACTTAACAAAACCATTGAAATTACCAACACAGGTCAGAGAATCAACAGTGAACATATGGAGAATATAAAGCACACACAGAAGAAAATGTCCATACATGTTGTAGAATGCTAAAGTGTCCTGATCATCACCAATCCTTTCTGTTGGACACTAACTGTCCAACAAGACCCTCCTGCATCGACAAGGAAAAACTCTTAAAAAACCCAGTGGGAAAAAGTGAGAAACCTTGGGGAGCACTAGGGAAACCCACAGGGAGGGAGACCCATATGAGAAAGGGATCCGCTCCTCCGGACGGACAGGCTAATGATCCAGGACCTAAGCTAGCTACAGAACGTGGACCAGTGGCCGCTGAACGTGGACAGGTCCGGTGCAGGACTGAAGCACTCCCAGGCGGGTCGGGCGGGGCAGTCCGCAGGTGTAGATGGAGGAGGCCAGGCTCAGAGATCCCGTCATCGTACCATGAAACAGACAATGGGACAACGGGTGAATAGCAATGAACAAACTACAGTCAGTGCTAAACAGATAAAGTAGATAAAGTAGGAAGGAGGAGAGGATAGTGCTCAAGTTACCATACTTCTCCCAGCAAACTGACTCCCTATGCGGCTTGACTGACACTCTGAGGAGTTTAGCCTTCCCCGAGTCTTACCTTCCTAACCATATGCTAAACTAAAGAGGACTATTTTAAACCTAGCCTTGAATAAAGAGATTCATGGATTGCACACCAGGTGTGCAAACCGATCCAAGCAAACCTAATTATATACTATATATCATATATATCACATATACCATACATACCATATATATCATAAATAATACACAACATAACATACAGCATAATATATAACATAATATACAACATAACACAATACATTATTGTATAATATATAACATAATACAGCATATATATATAATATATACACCATATATTATATATTACCTAATTATATGCTAAATTAAAGTAAAGTGCTTTAAGCCTGGCCTTGAATGTGGAGACCGTATCTGCTTCCATAAATGGGAAGCTGATTCCACAGTAAAGGAGCTTGGAGCTAAATGCTCTGCCACCAACAGTGATCTTTGAGACCTTAGGGACCACCAGACGTCTGGCGTTTTGTGAGCGCAACGCTCGACCTGGTTGATACGACACTAACGTGTCTTGGAGATAAGAGGGAGCCAAGCCATTTATGGCTTTATATGTTAAGAGAAGGATTTTAAACTTTATTCTGTACTCCACAGGGAGCCAGTGGAGTGATTTTAACACCGGAGTTATGTGCTCCCTCCTTTTGGTACCTGTTAAGATCCTAGCTGCTGTATTCTGAACGAGCTAGAAGCTCTTCAAAGAGGCTTTAGGGCACGCTGCCAATAAAGCGTTACAGTAGTCGAGCCTTGAGGTGACAAATGCGTGAATGAGTTTTTCCGCGTCACTTTTAGGAAGGAAATTCCTAATTTTAGCGATGTTCCGTAAGTGGAAGTACGCCGTTTTAGTTGCTTGGCTTATATAAGCCTTGAAGGAGAGTTCTTGGTCAAAAATGACTCCAAGATTCCTCACAGTGTTACTGGGTACAATACTGACACCATCGAGAGTAATTATCTGGTTAGTGAGGGTGTCACGCAGGCGCTTCGGACCGAGTAGGATCACTTCTGTCTTCTCCGGGTTGAGAAGTAGGAAGTTAAGAGTCATCCACATTTTAAGGTCCTTTATGCAGGCACTGAGCTTTTCTAGCTGATCTGTCTTCATCGATAGATAAAGCTGTGTGTCATCTGCATAGCAGTGGAAATTAATTCCATGCTTTTTAATAATGTTTCCCAATGGCAGCATGTAGAGAGTAAAAAGAATCGGTCCGAGTACCGAACCCTGCGGCACACCGAATTCTACTCCAGAATAAGGTGACGAGTTCTGATTTACGTTGACGAAGTGATACCGATCTGATAAATAGGATTTAAACCAGCCAAGGGCTGTTCCTCTAAGACCTATATCACATTCTAGCCTCTGCAGTAGAATGCTGTGGTCTATTGTGTCAAATGCAGCACTAAGGTCCAGTAGGACCAGCACTGACACTTGTCCATTATCAGCAGCTAGTAGTAAGTCATTTGTGACTTTGACTAGTGCCGTTTCAGTGCTATGATGAGCTCTGAATCCTGATTGAAAGACTTCAAACATATTATTTTCCTGCAGGTGGCAGCGAAGCTGCTCAGCTATACGTTTTTCCAGGATTTTAGATATGAAAGTGAGGTTTGAGATCGGTCTGTAGTTTGTAAGTATTTCTGGGTCCAGGTTTGTTTTCTTCAGAAGGGGTTTGATTACAGCGGTTTTAAAAGCTTGTGGGACATAGCCACATTTTATGGATGCGTTTATTATATTTACGATAGGCTCAATTATCAAAGGAAGTATGTCTTTGAAGAGCCATGTCGGGACTGCGTCTAACATGCAAGTTGAGGCTTTTGAGGATGTGACCACAGAGATCACTTCTGCTTGGCTCACAGCCATGGATTTATCGAGGCCCACTGAAGAGTCTAAGTGGGAAGTCACGTATGCCGCTTCAGCTTGTCCACTACCAACAGCAGGAGTAACCTCCTCCAGTTTGTCACGGATGGATGTAATTTTATTATTAAAGAAGTGGAGAAAGTCGACACTGCTCAGTGAGCTTGGAATTTTAGGCTCGATTGCGCTATGGCAGTTTGTGAGTTTAGCGACGGTGCTAAACAAAAATCTACTGTTATTTTTATTGGCTTCTATTAAAGTTGAATAGTATTGAGTTCGAGCCCTGCGAAGGGCATTCTTATAGTTTCGGAGACCTGCTTTCCACTCCCTGTGGACAGGCTCCGAGTGGGAGTGGCGATATAGCCTCTCCAATTTTCTGACGTCCTGTTTTAAAGTGTGGAGTTGAACACTGTACCAGGGCGACGATGATCTAATCCTAATAGTTTTCTGTTTTAAAGGAGCTGCTGCATTTAATGCAGACCTCAAAGACTCCATAGTGTTGTCCACCGCTTGGTCGACGACTGAGGGACCGCAGCAGCTGCGAACAGGTTCACCCGCAGCAGCATTCAACATAGGCTGCACTAGTTCTTTGAACCTTGTGATAGATTTATCATTTAAGGTTCTTTTCATTATGATTTTATCTTGCGGGACAGGAAAGTCCTCCAAACCGAGATCAAACGTGATCAAGAAATGGTCAGACAGCAACGAGCTTTGACGCTGGATGTCAACATTGGAGACATCACAGCCGTAGGTCAGGACAAGGTCCAAGGTGTGGTTATGAATGTGAGTAGGTTCCTCAACATTCTGAGTAAAACCAACACCATCTAGTACGGCGCTGAAAGCTTTGTTTAAGCTGTCAGTGCTGTCGTCCACATGTATATTGAAGTCTCCAGTTATAACTATGTTTTCCCATTCCAAAACTAGGTTTGAAATGAAGTCAGAGAATTCTGTTAGGAACTCGCTGTAAGGACCAGGAGGTCGGTATAAAACTATAAATAGTACCGCTTTTTGTTTTCTCCACCCAGGTACAGGTGATTGAAAGTGTTAAGTTTTCAAACGAGTGAAAAGCATTGTTGGTTCTGGGACTAAGAACCAAGTTGGTGTGTGATATAATCGCAACACCACCGCCGCGACCTGTAGTTCTGGCTTTCTGGTAGTTAACATGCGTCGGAGGAGTGCACTCATTCAATCTGACGTAGTCGTCCTGTTGGAGCCAAGTCTCCGAGAGCGCAAACAAATCCAAGCCCTTGTCTATAATAAGTTCGTTTATGAGAAGCGATTTAGACAAGATTGATCTGACGTTCATTAAACCACATTTAACAACCCTACTGTTAGAACTATTTCTGTCTGTCTGAACTTTTATTAAGTTACTGTGTCTGACACCCAGGTCAGATTTCCTCGCATATAGTGCTTTAGACTTCAAGCGAGGAACACACACAGTTTCAATCTGACTAGGTTCTGAGGCTAGTAACTGAACACACACAGGCACACACACACATGCACACACAGTTTGTGTGTGCATGTGTGTGTAAACATGTGTGTTTATATCCGTTGCATATGAGTTGCTGCCCCGCACACATCGACAATCTGACAAAAACGGGCAACTCCTAGTAGCAGGCCAGTCTCGGGAATAACAGCGCGTACATCGACAGCAACTGGCCTCAACTACAGTGTGTTTTCTGACATAAACTGTTGCGGGCTCGCAATACACGCAATACACACATGTTGTCAGAGCGGTGCATGGAGCGCACACATCGGGTCATATCTCCGAAACTGAGGACAACTAGTTGCCGAAAAGTAGAACACGGGCAACTGACTGAAACTGGAGATCGACTGTTTATCTCCGGTTGTGAGAGCGCGCACATCGACCGATTTCAGCAACTGATCATCTCCACCATCTACTCTCAGTTGCCAAAAGCCGCCTTGCAACTAGTTGTCTCCAGTTTCTCTGTCGATGTATGCTAGGCTTTACTCCCGCTCTGATGAACTGCTCTGATTGGTCAGAGCGCAGCCAAGCCTCTCTGTGCACGTGCATGAGACCCGATGTGAGACCCACACACGCGTATTTGGCACAACGCATTATGGGAGATCATCCACTGCGCAGAACCGGGAGGACCAGACGATGCCCAAATACAGGCGAGTTTCCCATAGATCTTTGCGAGTTCCAGGCGACTTCCGCTAATCTTTCAGCCCCCATGCCGTCACAAAGCGCCACTGAGCACAACCATTCATTTGAATACGGTGCCATCTTGGATCGCCGGGGCTTGGGAGCGACTCTGAGAAGCACTGGGACTGGCCTTTGGCTGGGTCTCTGCGGCGCACAGGGACTGGCCTCCTGCTTGTGCCCAGAGTCAGGACTGAACATGATTTATGCAGCTAAAATCTAGAACAGTCTTCCTGAAAATGTGAGACACGCCTCCTCTCTGTCAATGTTCAAATCCAGGTTGAAAACAGTTCTCTTTAGCTATGCATACATTTATGATTATGTATGCACTTTGAGGTGTCTTGTGGATGAACTGTACTATACAAATAAACTTTCCTTGCCTAAATTAATCCAACACTTGATTCACACTTTCTTAGATTGAAAACTTTCTTAGTCAAAAAACTTTATTGATCCCTGTAGGAGAAATGCAGGTGTCCAGCAGCAAAAACACATCCATCCAAACAAACAAGAAAATACATAATTCTAAAAAGTTATTGACAATAGTAATAAAGTGCAACAACACTTTAGGTGACAGCAGTGTGTAAGAACGATGAAATACGACTTGTTTTGTGTCACTGTTGTCGTACGGAGAGATGCTTTGTAAGCAAGTAAGTAAGTATTTATAGAGCACCTTTCACAGATAAAAATCACAAAGTGCTGTACTAGGTAAAAGCAGATATGTAGTACAATAGAAATAAGACAAAAAATAGAAAATAACATAAAAGCAAGAAATTAACCAAAAGCTGCCCTAAAAAGAAGGGTCTTTGTGGAAACATATAGGCATGAATGATCATCTCCAAGTCCTTCTGTGACAATGTTTTTGGAATTTTTGATATGTTTCTGAGTTGATAAAAAAACAGAGCTGTTTGGAGTGTGTATCCAGATTTAGGGCCTGATCAAAAACAAGTCCCAGGTTTCTGAAGGAGGAAGTGACAGAGGGACCAAGTGAACCAAGGTGCTGTTTGATGTCTGGAATCTTATTGGATTCTGGAGTCGGGAGCAAAAATCAAAAATGTTACTTGAATTACTTCAGGACGAGAGTTTGGAAGTGTCTCTACGCTGGAAATCTTGATGCATTTGTGGAAAAACAGAGATTAGAGCTTTGTCAATGAGGCTTATTCCAACTCAACTGAGGGAATCCTGAAGTGCTACTAGGTCAGAGAGAAACTGTCCACCAGGGCGGCACGGTGGCTGAGTGGTTAGCAAGAAGGTCCTGGGTTGTAATCTCAGTCAGGACAGTGCCTTTCTAGTGTTTAATATATTGATTGATTTTGATTTTCAGAAAAAGGACAGTACAAAAAGTAAAAACACAAAGCAAATAATAACCCACCCCGACACAAAAACCCTGTTTCACTGTTAAAAGAGTAGCATTACAATTCCGGTTATAGCTCAGTCAGCCAAATAATTAAAATAAAATCAATCAAGTGAAAAAAAAAAATTGTTACTCCTGAACCTGTGTAGATGGATGATCAAAGAACGTTAAAAAAGGTTTCCACACTTTATGAAATTTCTTTTCAGAGCACCTCAGGACAAATCTGATCTTCTCCGGTTTAAGGTGAAAAAGTACATCTTTAATCAAGTGTGGCACTGTGGGTGGGGCAAGGTCAGGACAGTGCCTTTCTGAGTGGAGTTTGCATGTTCTCCCTGTGTCGTCGTAGGTTTCCTCCGGGTGCTCTGGTTTCCCATCCATCCATCCATTTTCTTCCGCTTCATCCGTTGCCGGGTCGCGGGGGCAGCAGTCTAAGCAGAGACACCCAGACTTCTCTATCCACACACACTTCCTCCAGCTCGTCCGGGGGGACCCCGAGGCGCTCCCAGGCCAACTGAGGGACACAGTCCCTCCAGTGGGTCCTGGGCCTCCTCCCGGTGGGACGTGCCCGGAACACCTCCCCAGGGAGGCGTCCAGGAGGCATCCGGAACAGATGCTCGAGCCACCTCAACTGGTTCCTCTCGACGTGGAGTAGCAACGGCTCTACTCCGAGCTCCTCCCGTGTGACTGAGCTCCTCACCCTATCTCTAAGGGAGCGCCCAGCCACTCTGCGGAGGAAGCTCATTTCGACCGCTTGTATCCGTGATCTCGTTCTTTTGGTCATTACCCAAAGCTCATGACCATAGGTGAGGGAGGGAACGAAGATTGACCGGTAAATCGAGAGCTTTGCCTTTCGGCTCAGCTCCCTCTTTACCACAACGGTCCGATGCAGTGACTGCATCACTGCGCACGCTGCACCGATCCACCTGTCAATCTCACGCTCCATCCTTCCCTCACTCGTGAACAAGACCCCGAGATACTTGAACTCCTCCACTTGAGGAAGGACCTCTCCACCCACCCGGAGAGGTGAGTGGTAGGGGTCTGGTTTCCCCTACCACTAAAAATATGTAAACCTCCTGTACCCATTTCTGTGTGGATTGAGAGACAAATGCCCTCAACAGTTGTAAAACGCTTTGTGATTCTTGTCTGTAAAAGGCTCTATATAAAAAATATTACTTAATTACAAGGACTAGACTCAAGAACCGGACCAAACATAGCTTACATGTGAATCACCAACTGACTTGGGCTGAGAGCTGATTGGCTGATTGGCTGAGAGAGGGTGGTCTTCTCTTTTACCCTATTCTGTCTGAAAAAGCTGATCGAAAGATGTGACAGCGGCCAAACATAGATGCATGTGAAAACTAGAGATTTACACAGTTCTATTGTTGTGAGTTGAAAGTTACATCAAGAGTTTTCAGCCCAAGATCAAGTCTGAAAATGGGTCTCGTGTGTGTTCGGCCAGGACCCATTTTGTCTGCGAGGGCCTTTTCTCCAGCCCCAGTGGGAGGTCAGATCATGTTGATGTGCAGCATGTGGGGCAAACGTCGGCGCTGAAGTAGGCTAACAGGCTGCAGCTTATCCAGCCTGAGAGTGGGTGAGGAGGGGAGCAGGAGGCTGACGCGTGCCTGGGACTGCCATCTGCTGCGGTTAAAGAGCTTAACACCTGCTCCACAAAGAGGATCCTCCAGGAAACGACAGCAGGAGCAGCGCGAAGGACACCAGGTCGGCTGCTCGGCTTCCGCTCGGTCACCTGCTGCTGCTGCTGCTGAGTCTCTGGGGAGAAGTAAGCTCCGGCAGATGAGACAGAAGGAGCTGCTCTTTGGTGTTTGAGCCTCTTCAAACATGTTTTCTCACTGCACTGCACACACTACCGATCAGCAGTTGTGTTACTTGGATAGATTTATTTGCTGAGGTGATCATAGACTGTAGCTCAGGCAAGTCAAACTCAGGGTGATTAGAGTAACTTACAACTTTGATGGTAAAGAGTTCTTCCTTGCCGATTAAAAAAAGGGTCTGTTGGACTTTTAGTGGGTTTAATAAAAAGGACTGTGGTGGTGATCCAGGACACTCAACAATCTACAACATTTATAGACATTTATCAACATTCGTGGACATTGATCAACTCCCTATGGACCAATTACAAATGTGTTCTATATTCTTTGTGTTTCAACCGTTTGATTCTCTGATCTGAGTTGGTGATTTCAATGGTTTTATTAAGTCCTCTGTGATAACTACTGTTGTGATTTTGGGCTGTACAAGAATAAAATATGCTGAATTGAACTGAATTGAATGGGATACCATGGAATGTTATACTTCATTTTAAAGCTTATTGTCTCAGAAAAAATATATATAATTTAATATAAACCCAAAACTTTGTTTAAAAACCCCCATAAAACACTTTTGGCCCCAACCAGCTCTTATGTTTTTAAACTTGACCTCCGACCAAAATAAGTTTTAAATTGGCTAATGGGCTTTAAATTCCATGGATTAGCGCTCACAGGCCTTCAGAGGCCTTCATTCATAGGGAAAACTCCATCCTGCCTTAGCAACTGTGCCTCTGTTGCCGTGGAGGAAATGACCATATGAGGAAATGGTCAGCACTAGATCAGATACGGAATCGGGACGGAAGCGGAAGTAAATATAATCATCTGCCTAAACTTAACCAGCCATTCCCATAAAATAACCCCAACCCACCCTTAACCCTAACCTTAACCATCTTACTCAGACACCTAAAACTTAACCAGTAACCACTTAATGACTTATTAGTCTAAAACTAATTCGAAAGTAGGATTGTTACTGCCGCTTTTGTCCCAATTCCGTTTATGATCTAGTGCTGACCATGAGGAAATGGGCTCCGGCTAGCTTAGCTAACTCATATGATGACATCAGCAGTCAGTCCACTCAGAAGATACATTTACAACCAGTCATAATCATAATTTCATTCATTCATTTATATTCAACCCCTAGCAATCAGAGCTGCCACTCAGTTCTCAAAGCACCAGTCCCTCACTGATCCTCCTGCAGGCGGTGAGTCCATGGGAGGAGTAAATGTGATGTTGACCGTGTTTTGTGAAAAGTCTGATGGTTTTTAGTTTTGGAAGCGTAATGGGCTAAACCTAGAGCGGTTTGTTTACTCCCGTCTGTAATTTGATCGATATGTTCAGCTGTGAGACTGATCCAAAAGTGTCAATGTGCTTTCTCTCTTAGTTGCCATAGATAGTCAAAGCTATTCCTCAGAGAGATAAGGTAACTTTACAAAAGCACAATGACAGCACAACAGAAGAGAACTGCTGTGTCCCAAAATGCCCAGCTACCTCAGTGTAATTCCTGTTAGAGCATTATTTTGAAAACTAGTGTAAACAAGTTTCCTTAATGATAAAGGTGAATCCATCTCAGCCGCAGTCAAACTCAAGCGGATCCTCGCGCACCAGGTTCAGTGTCGTTAAAACTAAAATGCAGAATTGCTGCCTGCATAGAGCCTGTGAGGATTAGATAGCTATAAAGTGATCTGGCCTTAGGACAACGACCCGATTGTGTATCTGCTATGATTGTGTGTCCGTGTTCTGTTCTTTCGAGGTCTTGTTATGTTCTGATTGTTCTCTTGATGTGACACGAATGCTTATCCATGTATGACGTATGTGTGACGTAAACGTTGACTATATAAACCATATCCTAAATATGTTCTGTCTGAAAAATCTGACCAAACTGAATGAACTGAATCAACTGCCATTTTATGAATAAACAACCACGCCATGATGCACAGGGTCCCGTTTGGTCTGAGTCTGATTTTCAACAAGCCCATTACTTAGATTACATACTGTTATGGTTTAGATTTATTTCCTGTTTTATTTTGTAAATTGTAATTTTTTATTGAAACAAATGTACAATAGAGATACAATTTGGCAATTTACGATTTAAAATTACAAAAATGCAAATATAAAGGGCAGGCGCACACACACACACACACACACACACACACAGTTAGAGGTCATCATTGAATATTCTAAGGTTTTCAAATGTTTCTATAAGTGACAATGCATTTTTACCTTTCAATCATTTTAGAGACTTTAAAATGTTATTTGTTAACCCCTGTGTCTTGATTAGTTGTACTTCCTGCTTCCTGATGGCCTGCCCCGCCCTCATGTGTGTCACCTGTGTCTGGTTACTCCTGTGTCGTCCTTCACTCCCTGTTCCGTTATTGTCATCCCACATCTGTTTTTGGTGTCAGTCGTTATTTGGTTACTTTTTGTGTTTACTTTGGATTTTATTTTTGTTTTACTTATATTAAATACATCTGTTTTGCAGTTCAGTATTTATGGGTGTAGTATTTATGACACATACAGTGTGTACATTTTTTATTTTCATAACTTGAGACTTTAGTTTATTTTTATGTAATTATTTTTTTCTTATAAAATCATCTTTTATTTAACTTAAAATTAGATGTAGCAATTTTCTGTTGCTTGTTAACAAAGTTTCTGACAGGTCGTTTTGTTTGTGGTTCTGGTTCTGAGACGAGTCACTTGAGAGATGCGCACACACTGTTTACTCGTCAGTAGTTAGCATTTGAGCTTTAGCATTAACTAATTAGCGAGTCTTTCAGCGTCAAATGACCGAGGCCGTTAGCCTTAAAACACACACACAAAACATGTTTTAAGCATGTAAACACAAGAACCCTGCTTGAAAATGAGCCTTGTGCCTGCCCTTTGTCATGTTTCCTCTCCTCCCCCCCAACCCCTCCTTTTGCTCCCAAAACACGGGTGCACTATCAAAACCAAAACTCTGCTACCAAAACATGAATTTGTCCAAATGAAACTCTCAAGACAAAATGATACACCCAATTGCATCATATGAACACACTTTCAGATTGGAAGAAACACACTAGAGTATTTTGTAAAAAACAAATACACAAAAAAAACACTGCAGTATTTTATTTTCACTGTTTTTATTCTGGGTATCAGTTCTGAAAGAATAGAAATGATATTAACGCAATATTGTACATCACGGTACTACAGTACACTTTACAGTACAGTAATGCATTTAAAAAATACAACTAATGTAAAACTAAGCATACTGCGTGGGTGGGATTACGGATCCTGTGTCTGTTTGGGTCCGGTCACAGGATCTCATCAACATCACAAGCAATATGTTCACTGTTAGCAGGAAAACATATCTCCTTGTGTGGGGAATACATCCATGGATTCACATCATGTCCGCCTCTGCCATTGCCTGAGAAGGAGGATGTGTTTGGCGTCCAAACACGAGCCATCTCCAAACGGGAAAAAAATCTTCTAGTGTTTAGGAATGGTGAGTAACACTATCCCAGACAACCACAAACCTGGGCCATGCTGGTCTGTCTCGCACAAGTGCATCATGAAGAGCATCTAGAAATGTGAGTATTTGTTGCGTATTGTAAGGACATAGATTGGCATGATGTTGTAGAAGCCCTCAAAGGCTTATGGTGTGTGATGTTCCCCCACACTGCCCCGGGACATGCACAATTGCCCTTTGGTCAATAATATTACAACCCAGTCTGGTTTTAGGTTAGGCTGACGCCAGCCTCATCAAAGTAAATAAAATCCATGAGGCTGTGCAGCTCTATCCATGTGTAGCATGATATGGTCTCAGATCATATGGCCCTGACCCGTGGAGTACCACAGGGGTCGATCCTGGGACCTCTTCTGTTCAATCTCTACATGCTGCCGTTAGGTCAGTTAATACGCAGAAACAAAGTGTCCTATCACAACTATGCAGACGACACTCAGATCTATGTCTCACTGACTGCAGGAGAACATGGACCAGTGGACTCACTCCTTCACTGTATCCAACAGATCAGTGAGTGGATGCAAAACAACTTCCTTCAGCTAAACGCAGACATAACTGAAATGATTGTCTTTGGTCCCCAGAAACAAAGAGAGAGAGTCATCTGTCACCTACAGTCTCTCTCCCTAAAACTTTCAAACAAGGTCAGAAATCTAGGGGTAATACTGGACTCAGACTTAAATTTTAATAGCCACATCAAATCAGTAACATCAGCAGCTTTTTACCATCTAAAAAACATTGCCAGGATCAAAAACATAGTGTCTAAAGCAGACCTGGAGCTTCTTATCCATGCATTTGTCTCCAGTAGGTTAGACTACTGCAATGGCCTGCTCACAGGTCTGTCCAAACAGGCTGTAAAACAGCTGCAGTACTTTCAAAATGCAGCAGCTCGAGTCCTGACTAGAACCAGGAAGTACGACCACATTAGTCCAGTTCTCAGGTCTCTGCACTGGCTTCCTGTGGCTCAGAGAATAGACTTTAAAACAGCTCTGCTTGTGTACAAGTCTCTCCATGGCCTCGCACCAAAATATATTAGTGACATGTTAGTCCCATATGAACCGGCCCGGACTCTGAGGAGCACAGGGACTGGACTCCTGCTGGGACTCTGAGGAGCACAGGGACTGGACTCCTGTTAGTGTCCAGAGTCAGAACTAAACATGGGGAGGCTGCTTTTCAGATTCATGCTGCTAAAATCTGGAACAATCTTCCTGAAGATGTGAGACAGACCTCCTCAATGACAATGTTTAAAACCAGGTTAAAGACAGTTCTGTTTAGCTGTGCTACAACTGAGGGGTTTTATATTTTTAGCTTTCTTTTTAATGTTCTGTGATTATTTATGATTTTAATGCTTTCTTATTTTGTTCAGCACTTTGAGTTGCCTTATGTATGAATTGTGCTATACAAATAAACTTGCCTTGCCTAGCATGACGAGGGTCGTGGGCTCACATTCGGTTGACTAAACCAGCAACGCCAGGGTCTTGAAACCCAAAATAAAATAATAGTAAGGCACACAGGTAAGTTCATA